TAATAATAATAATAATAATAATAATAGTTCGTCTACGCAATGACCGATTCTTTAGCAGAATATTATGCATGTCCCAAACCTACTCCCACAAATACTCTCACAAATACTCCCACAAATACTCTCATAAATACTCCCACAAATACTCTCACAAATACTCTCACAAATACTCTCACAAATACTCCCACAAATACTCCCACAAATACTCCCACCTGAAAGTGTACAAAACAACAAACTGCGATTCAAACAAAAGACCAATTATTATCTCCATATTGTATACCCGGGAATCTACCAACATGCCAGCGCTGCAACTGCGAGGGACTGCGATAAGTATCCTAATTCCTGCAATGAAATTGTAAAAGGACTTATCTGCAGCTTGTTGATATTTTGGGTATCGGTTTGCTGCAGATCCGTGTTTAATTTAACTTTGAAATAACTATTCTGAAAACGCACATGGAAAAAGTTCTATCTGCTTTTGCGTTTGAAATTCACACAATTTGACGTTCAATATCTAAAAATTATATACGTTGCATATGGAGCCGTCATAGTCTCATATGGCGAAATTCTAGAAACCCCACTCTCATACGACGAAATTCCAGAGTTGGAGTTGGAGTTGGCTGAGCATGCCCCCCTCCCCCCCCCTCCCCCTTTTCCTCGAACAATCAGACACTAAAGTTGAGTTCTCTTTGTTTCTGCAGTGCCGGTTCCGTATAAAATAGCCCACATAATTTCCCCTCCTTAGTGTGACTGGACTCTCGCTTATACAAGACATGGGTTTGTTCTCATTATTTTCTTCTCTAAGATCTAAAAATCTATCAAGATAATGCTGTATCTTAAAGCTAACGTGTCTTTTACCTTTGTAGAATTCCATCATTAACATTATCGTTTTGCCGAAAAAGATATTGTTTTAAAAAGAAAAGTAAAACAATAAAAGAGATAAAAGAGATGATAATGCGCGATATGAGAGAGACAAAGGGAGTTATATTATGCTCATATTTAATCTTCGAAACGATTCTTCTTACTGAAAATGTTTCCCTATTTCCCCCCAATCTTGTCTCGTCTCTTTGTTTTCTTCTATATGGGGAAGACCAGGTAGTTCTTAACATTGCGTAGGCTGTGATATTAGTCTGATTGTGATAGTGAACGCATTCGCGGAAAGCTGGATAATTTCGGAAAACAATACATAAAATAAGATCCTCTTTTCACTACCTTACGATCACCAAGTCCTAGGGGGCTCTCGTGGCCTAGAGGTTAAGGTGTTGGCCTCTCATTCAAAAAGTCACGGGGTCGAATCCGGGTAGCGACCGAAAAATTTT